TAAAGAGACCTAAGGCTATCTTATGTCTTCCACCATATGAGGAAACAGGAAAAAGGTGCCCATCCGTGAACAGAAAGTGGGCCCTCACCAGATACCAAATATGCTGGCGACTTGAACTTGGACTCCCCAGCCTCTAAAACTGAGAAACTGAAGTCTGTTATTGGTAAGTGACCCTATCTATGGAAGTATTCTGTGATAGCAACTTGAATGGACTAGGCACCAAAACTTCTTCTTAATCTAGTATTTAGAATTTAATTTAATAGTTATTTAATCTACTAATTAATAAGGAAAATATTAACACTAGTATTCAGTTCACAGCACTACTAAAAATAGAGTAGAAACTTAACTGATCGCCAAGAAGTTGTAAGAAGAGGGCCTGACAAGCAACAGGGCAGCTCTAATTTACGGAATGTGTAGAATGACATGTGGAAGAATGAGATGCTTTCTGTGGATTCTGAGATAGACTACTGCAAGAGAACAGAGTCTGACGAAGTGATGCTGGCAAAATGGCAGAGGAGGCAGTTCCAAGTGCCCCCTCTCCCCTTCACACCTGAAAATACTGAAACACAAGCACCAACTGACAGAAATGACTGTCAGAAAGTCTCTGGAAAACTGTCAAGAGATCTGACTGTCACCAAATGAACACTGAATCAAGAAAGCTCATCTTAAAACAATAGGAAAGTTTTGTGGTTATTTTATTTGTCCTATTCCCTCCCAGTGCAATGGAGTTCATGTTCCTGGAATGAGACCCCAGTCCCTGGTTCCAAAAGGAGCAAAGCAGATCTTATCCACAAAATACTAGGTAACTCGATTCTGTCAGGGATACCTGAAGGATTGACACCGGATGTGTATCTGTTTTATCTAAACGGAAACTCATTCAAGCTGAAAATTGGCTGGCATTGCTCAAAAACACTGTAAAGCAAATGAACAATCCATAGACACTTGAAGTAAAAGATTACAACTGAAATATGTAATAGAACATCTGAGGCCTCAGAGGAAAACACATGGAGACAGTTTCCTTGGGAAATGAGGGCAATGAAAAGCAATATTATAGATGGGGGAATAAGAAAGCCACACATTAGTCAGCAGGTGATGTGGAGGTGAAGACGGCTAGATCCCACATGGCTGGCTGTGTGGCTCAAGTCCCAGACCTGGTGGCTTGAAAAACATGCTGGGCACAATTGCGTGTGTCCAAAATCCCAAAAGGAAAACGGAGAAGGGATTGCAGTGTGGCCAACCCTCCCCCCCCCCCCCCCCCCCTGGAGTGATTTCTTACTTCCCCTAACCTCTCTGGCATGGCAAGAACCCCTATAGCAAAGTAAAAAAAATAAAATAAAATAAAAATAAAAGCTTCCCCATGCCCTGGGAAGATACATATTCGGGGGGGGGGGAATGAAGATGATCTTAAGCTTTTCTCACTTTAGGCTGAGTACCAGGCTAGATGCAAATCTGGAAAACTTGAGGAGGAGTGCCAACAAAGAGCCAATGTGCAGCAAGTGAGAGAGGTAGTTCTGTTTATTTGTTCAGGCTCCTGGCATTCAAGGAAATCTCTGCCAAAACAAACTAGTAAGAAATAGAGACTTTAGTGACCACACATGACAAGGAAGACAGTGCCTATACAAAAAATAGGTGGGGGGGGAACAAACAAAAGGGCGGTTCTAGAGACTTCAACAATCAACCAACAAACACACCTTGGAGAAGGGGGAGAACCTATTTCCGGAGACATTTAACTTCCAAACAACTGATTTTCAATCAAAAACAAAACAAACAAACAAACAAACAAAAAAATCACAAGGGACACAAAAAACAAGAAGTAAAACCATTCAAAGGAATAAAATAAATTGAATTTTTTAAATGTGCTCAATATCAATATGCTATTGAAGTTAAATTGATAAAAGGGTCCATTTGTTTTTTAATGTAATAATTATAAACATAAATCCATGAAAAAAAGCTCCAAAGTATAGAATCAATCACTGGCAGAACTGGAGAAATAGAAAGCTCTACAATAAAAGACTTTGATACCTCCATTCAATAATAGAATTTAACAGAAGATAAATAAGAAAAGAAATCATTTGTGGAATATATAAACTAGTTAGCTCTATTAGACATATATCCAACACCCTACTCAAGAACAGCAAAACACGTTCTTCTAATGGGTACATGGAATACCATCCAGGAGAGACTAGGTTAGCTCACAAAAGTCTCAATAAATTAAAAGATAGAAGTCATGTGAAGCATATTTTGCAAATACAATGCCATGAAAATAGAAGTCAAAAACAGAAGGAAAATTTAAAAATTCACAAGTATGTGGAAATTAAATTACTCAAAAAAGCAGTCATAGAGAAAATCACAAGGAAAATTAGAAATACTCTTGAAATGAATGAAATAAAACACAAAACATATGGAAACTTGTGTGATGTAGTAAATACAGTACTCAGAGGAAAATTAATAGCAGTAAACACTCATATTAAAAAAGAACCAGTCAAGGGACCAGCAGATGGCATAATGGGTATATCACTGGACTCCCACATAGTCGACCACAATTTGAGTCCCAGACCCAGCGACTTAAAACTCACACAGGGCTCATGTGTGCACGTGCCCAAAATCCCAAGAGGAGAAAGGAGAAGGGATTGTGGCGTCGCCATCCCCCTTGAGGGGGTGATTTCTTGCTCTGTCTCTTTCTGGTGAG